ATAAACATTTAGCAGCTACATAGATCACTTGCTTGTCACTGTGGATCGCAATGGCTACTGTTGCGTTGTACAGTGACATGAAAAAAGGGATAACGTTTTTGCAATAGCCACTCTTCATTTATACGTCCTATGTAATTCACAGCTGGACTATACAGGGATAACAGGAGAAATAAATATTTGCAATATATATTTTTTTTGGATGTTATTATGATGAATATCAAATTGTATAAAATAAATGAAGAACGAGCAAAACTATACAGTCCCTAACAATTTTAAGCCTTTTAAACCTTAGCTTTAAGCCATTGTTATCCTCGTAACATTATGGTAAATGCAATAAAGAATAGAATTGAATTGAATTTTATATATATACGGTTCACTATTTTGAACATATTTATTTGTAATTAAATTTAAGTGTCATAAACTACCATAGTATTCATGTTTTTTTTTTTGGGAAAATACTCCATTAGTTTATTGTTATTATTAATACAAAGATCGAACATGGAGAAAAGTTCCTCCGATCCAGCAGGACCCAAAACAGCGACTATGTACCAAACCGGAGCTACCGCTGTCCCAGCTGAACAGCGGAACAGATCAGCAGACGTTACGAGTTTCTACATGTGCCCGTATCAGATCTGTGTTTCTGGATTTTAAATGGTTTTTGGCCTAAATAACGCTGAATACCACCTTATAAATATAAAAATATTGAAGTGTTCTCTCTCTTCCTCCTGCGGTCAACTAAAAAGTCCGGAACACTCAATCAATCATTCATATACCACTCATTCGCATGAAATGCTTTGCGTCCTCTTCTGTAATGTGTACCGCAAAGGAATGGAATAAAAAAAGTACAATTTAGGACTATTCAAGACTAGAGTCAATTGACATTTTTGGACACCTCCCGCCAAAGGAGTAGAGTCCATCTCCACATCTTAGATGCCTGGCATTGTAAGACCATGGGGGCATCTCGTACGTTCCTTCCTCGAACCTGCAAGATGTGGAATGATCTCCCTCCTGAAGTATTTCCTTTTGCAGCTCTGAGAAAGTTTTACCCACTTTTCACCATCACCTCTCGCCAAAAGAGTAGAGCTCATTCCCAAATCCTTGATACCTGGTATTCTGAGACCACACGGGCATCGCGTACGTCGCTCAAACCTGCAAGATGTGGAATACTCTCCTTCCTGAAGTCTTTTACGTTACGACATACCACACGCAAAATAGGCGCTTTGTCGTCGAGTTGCGGAAACCAGCCCGTTGCACCAAGTACCAAGTACCAAGTACGTTACGACATGGAATCATAATCTGGCAACGCGTAGGCAAAGATGATGTGGTATTTTTTTGTTGGACCTCAGTAGTGGTCCAATTCATATTTATAGGAAATATTCCACCAGTAAGGGTGCAAATTAAAAACCGGAACTGGTTTATTGGATTTCACTCATTTTCCGTTAATTGATTTCAATAAAACTTTGCACATAGATGTAGTTCCACAAATTTTTGAGGACGGTTGTTCTTATAAAAAAATGTATAAATAATAGAGTCATATAACGGAATGTGTTCTGTTTCTTAAGTGAGCCAGTGTGAAGTAGGTCACTATATTCATTTACCAATTTGCGTAGTTTTGAGATGGGAGAATTCGATCCAAAAACTGTTTTTCGAAGGATTTGGCTTTTGAGGGTTTAGTTTACAATGATAATAATGTGCATAATAATAATAAATGCGAACTTTACATCCCTCAATCTTATCCTAACGGGGATACAATCATTCCAGATCTTAATACTCTTGCCCCTAACATTCTTCTCACCGACGAATCCAAGTTTAAGCTTCTGGGTGCACCTATATTCGAAGACTCAATTCCAGCCTTTCTCCAAAATTCAATCTCAAAGCTTAACTCATGTACAGATAGGCTCCTGAGCCTAGACACCCACTACGCCATCTGTTTTTTAAAATATTGCCTTTTCTTAAATTTACAAACGTACTTCGCCGCTATCCGGCTTGGAAATTCCATAACCAGTTGATGTCAATAGATTCTCACTAAAAAGCTCTTCTTCAATCCATTCTCAACGTTCATCTCACCCACAACGCCTGGACCCAAGCTACCCTCCCCATCAGACATGGTGATCTAGGCATCAAGAGTATATCCGCCATAGCTCTTCTGGCCTGTTTGTCCTCAATCTACAGAACGGTCAACCTCGTAGGCAGTATCCTCAGACTTCCGCCAACAAACTGCAGGGTGACGTGGTTAATTGAGTCCAGAAACGTCAGAAACCAGGTTTGCCCCAACGAAAATTCTCCGTCCGACCCCAAAATTCAAAGGAGCTAGGATAATTTACTGTGCTGTGTAATGATTCATAAAGTCATTTAAAGTCTTTTTACTTTAAATGACTTAATGAATCATTGCACCCCAATAGACGGAGCGCCTCTGGAAGCGGCGTCCAGCTGGGAGTCTGGCCACTGGCTACACGCTTTCCCCTCTGCCAGTACCGGTACCTTCCTGAGCGCCGAGACCATTCACATAGCCGCAGGCCTCCGCCTTGGTGTCTCAGTTTGCTCCCCTCATCGGCGTCCTTGCGACGTAAGTGCTCTGGGTCACCACGGTCTTTCCAACGCATTAGCATAGCAATATAAAGGGAGAACGCTGCCAGCATCTTGGGCACTTTGCCATGGGGACCAAATTTCATTCATATAATTTAAAAATCCTAGTTTTACTTTCGAGTATTTAAGCTTCCATTGTCTTTTTTACCTTACCTGTATATTATCAAAATAAAAATAACAAAATATAATGTGCCTTAACGATCCTAACACTTAAACCACATTATTATTATAGTTAATCAAAGGCAGAGATGGGAATGGGTTAAAACCTAATTAATCCGCCCGGATTTTAATCGCATTAGTGCCCAAAATCGTGGGCAGATACGGCGAATACGGAATTTAATGTAATTCTATACTTATTACAAATTTATGTGCAAAAAACCTCTTTTAGACGAAAAAGAAGCAATTCCACACAATACCCACCTTGCGATCTAAATGGATTCGCACTATTAAAGATGCATAAACATTACGATTCAAAATCGATTAAAGTACATACGCTTTCACGATTTTTCGTATCGATTTATTTTAATGCAATTTTCGAGCGAACCAATTCAATAGAAAGGCTTAATATCGGCTAAGGCTAAAATCGTCTAGATCAGAATGCAATAAACATTTTGTAATGATGTCAATCAATTTGAACAAAACTCGATTTACAACACATATTTAATTGTTAATAGGTTTTGCCCTCGATTTCGTGCGTTAATGGGTTTTAACCCGATTTAAACTGTTAACAAATCGCCGGGTTAAAACTTGGGCACTTGCTCATCTCTGGTCAAAAGGAAGTGATTAAGCTTATATTATTGGCTTGGAAACATGATCCGGGTTAGTGCTGATTTGCAGCCACTCGTGCACTCGCCTATTTCTTGCAACTTGATCCAAATCCAACACAGCTCCTCGACATCCATAATATCTTTTACTCTAATTGCTGCAGCTATTGGGGAATTGATTTAACACCATTCTGAATGTAGACTTACATGATGACATTTCTTTGAAAAAGTTGGCCAGGGAACCTACTCAGGTGGAGCCGGTAGCCACTTGTATTCGGAGTTTTCATATTAATGTTCATATTGTAGTGATATTTTAGTAGTAGTAGAGACCCTTGTGAAAGAGTTCGTCCAGGGAAGTACTGCCACACTGAAAGGGCCACTACTGTGGTACCCACCACAGTAGTGGCCCCATTTAAATTTGAAAAAAATATTCCACCTCTAAGGATGGCAAACTAGGGGTTGAATCTGTTTTCGCGCATTTTCCGGTAACCGATCTCAATAAAACTTGGCAAATAGATGTAATCCCATGAACTTTTGAGGTCGTTTTTTTAGTACTCTGTACCAGATAAATATTAAATTAAAGATAAATATTTTTTTGCAGACCTGTGTTATCTGCTAAAGCAGAATAAAGAAGAGGATTATTGTTTCGGTTACTAGAAACAAGGAATACTTGGGCTAAGCAACGTTGCAGAACTGCTGCTCCTCTGTAGAACAAACTGTATATATGGTATATCGAGGGTTCCGTGCTCAAACCCAATAAGTAGTTGAAAGTAACTTCGGAGATATTCAATGTTGAAAGTTTGCTCATAAATAAAACTATTTGAATAAATCAAATCATCTGACTTCTAGTTTTTATAATTAGGGATATATTGTTGACAATTAGTTTCAATGTTACATTGATCATTTAAGTGTATAATTTTTTTGTAAAAGGAAATTAATTAGCATAAGCTGGTGACTTATTGGGTATTAGCATAATGAAAAGGAATATTTTGTATTAAAGACTGTTTTTAATAAGCAATACAATAATGACTGACTTATTATTTAATCATGATTTTACATGGCGTAGTAACAATAATATGGACAAAAGTAGTTGAAAACTTATACTGAATTTGTTATACATCATCGTCGGTACTGCTTGAAACATTGCTGTTAAAAGTTTTCATATTTTTAATCCAATGATTAAATTCTTCAGGAATAATTTTTTTGTTGCACATTGTCACCAAATCTTTCTTTTTATCAGCACTTATAGGCAATTGGCTGAAGTATAAGGACTCTAAGTCATCAGGCAATTGCACTGTTGCAGACGGTGGGTTTGAACGCCTTGTGGCTCGTGTTTTCGGTGTAGTATAAGATCGGTTTGAGACATCTATGGATCGGAAATTCTGTGACATGTCGTAATTAAAATAGATTTTTAAATCACTTTTAACATATCGAATCCTCTTAATTTTTAACCAATTCACTGCTTGATTCATGTCATCCTTATTTTTGTTTCGCATTATAGTGGCACTTAGTTTTTTTAGGTCCAACATCTCGTCATATTTAAACTCTTTTATTTTATAATTGTCCACCTCAAACTTTTGATTGTTGCCCTGATTATCTTTAAATGTTTTAATTCTTTTGTTCCTGGCTTGCTTGAACACGTTTTTCCAATCATGAACGCTGTTTATTGAAGTTTTTTTTTGCTGCATTTTCTATAGCAGCATGCATTGAGTCCACCTCCATATGCGTATGACCACTCTCAAGAAACTTTTGCTCTATAATTTGCAGTTGATCAATTTTTTGAACTGCCCAGAGCAAGAGAGCTGAAATATATTGGTTGCGGTTCTGCCCGCTACATGTGTCGGAGAAAAGACTGACTTCCGTCACGGTTTTCGGAATTTCATTTTGTAAATAGTACAAAAGGCCAGTCCCTATCTCACTACTGCCTTTCTTTCCGTTTATTTCGCTCCAACAGAGGCAGTAAGCGTTATTTGGAAGGCGCGCTTCATAAATGGTAAAATTATAAACCACAAATTTTCGCATATAGTACAGTATGCTTTCTCCTCCACTAGGTATTTGTAAAACTGCTTGCAAATCCATAGTCACAGACATGAACGCGTCATCGTTGTTAGAACGAACTTTGTCAGCGTCTTTTTCCGCTTGACAGACTGTTTTACGCTGTAAATGCTCTTGATACTCATATTCTAGTTCTTCTTTAGATTCCGCTTTTGCATAGTTTGTACATAGCAAGCAAAGATCTTTTTTCGGTTTGAAAAAACTCAAATTGTACTCTTTATTAAAAATTTCACGGTATTTAGCTTCTGAAACTGGATTTTTGCCTGTCTCTCTGCATAATTCTTTATACAATCGGTACATATTGAGGATAGATTTTACGTCTTGAGACAGATATTTTTTTTTACTGTCTTTACGACAATAATGGGACTCTACAACAGGAAATGACTCTATGTGTTGCTTTACAAATTCAATTTCATCTTCTTTTATTTTATTTGGAGGTACTTTCTTACCACGTTGATCATCACCTGTATAAATTCCTAGTGAATCCATTTTATTGAGAGCATCAGAGATGACATCCACGCATATGCATAAGGTAGCCATGAAAAATTTTTGACACACTTGAATTTTGTCACTGTCTTTTTGGAAAAAGCATTTTTTACTGAATGAGCGCTCCTTCTTATTAGACATCCTTTGTAACCTTCGTGTCTTTACAGCTTGTACTTGAACGCAAGAAATAATGAAGTTCTTTCTGGCTATATAATCTAAGCTGTAATAATGTCTGCAAAGATTATTTTGATCCTCGAAAGTAAATTTCTCTGTGCATTTAAAAACACACTTATCACAATTGACAGTTTTTGGAATCTTTGCGGGTCGTGTAATACCGTTTGTCTTATAAGGTAGTCCTGCCGATTTTCTTCTTTTTGCAATGTTTCGCTTCCATTCTTGACGTTGGGCTTGCTTACGTCGTCTTAGTGGCTTAACAGAGGCCCAAACTCGGTCTAATAGATTTTCAAGAACTGCCGTAATTACTTCATTAGGTAAATTATTATGATTTAGACGCTTATTTCCTATATTTGGACTTTCCGGAATGATAATATTATGACGAGCACCGGCTTTATTTATTTCTTTGCTTGAGCTGCTATCAGCCGAATCTGGCACGTAAGTTGGGTCTACATCTGAATAGTCACTGCCAAAGAAACATACCTCATCAGGAAACTCTACAAATTTATCTTTCTGCATACTTGTAGACGGCTCTAAAAACAAAAAAAAAATACCAATAAGATAAAAATAATAAATAACAACTACATGAATGATAATGACAACATTAAAACTGCATGTTCCAAACTGAGTACGTACTAGAGTTTTACTTAAGTACAAACAAAAATCTTTTTATATAAGCAAGTACGCAGGTAGCGCTATTCCTTTGTTTCTGTTCTTAGTTATGTTGGTTACAAAAAAAACTTACCCTGGATAGGTGACAAATTTTTTGTATTTATGATTTCGTTCATTTTAAGGGCTATATCTAATTGCGATTCATCTAAATCAGAAGAAAAATTTGAAGACGCTTTGTCACTGCTTGATTTTGCATCAATACCTGAAATGAGATACGTGAAATTATTATTATTTAATTTATGGCAAAGGTACAAGTTAAAATGTTATTATTATGTAGGTAGATTTTAAATACATATCTAAACGACTTACCTCTGTAAAGAGTTTCATTTTCTAGTGAATCGTCAAGGTCACTCAAAGGGTGAACCGAAGTTTCCGGAACTGCTAAAACAAAAAGAAAAATTAATTACGAACTTAACTGTCTCAAATAAAACTAAGCAATAATTGGGCAACTTGTAATACAAAAATAAATTCGTTTAAAAAGTTTTGCAGTAGTCAAGACATTATTCTTATGGTAAAACCCAATAAGTCGTTCAAAAGACGCAGCGCACGGTCATAAAATTAGCTTTCATGAGTTGTTTTGAAAGTAATAACTAAAAAACTTAAAAGGTACGCTACGCTCTTTTCTGAAATCGACTGATAATATCACAAGAAAAAACTAAAATTCTATACCTATTTAGAGGTTATGAGAAGATTTGGTTACTTACTAGATTTCGCAGGTTGTTTACAAGCTAGTTGCACTAATTTTCTTCCTCGATCCCCCATCTGAATTCTTATTACACTCACACAATGTCCTCAATAAACAATCTAATGTGTAAAGCAAATCAAACTCGCGCAGTAGGTACTGGGCGTAAAAACGAGTTTGAACTGAGCTGGACGAACAGGGGAGCGGGACGCGGGCGGGGCGCCACGCGATGGCGGACAGACGCGCGCGAGTCGATCACAGAATAGTACCTATGCCTATTTATTGGGTTCTTACCCAATTAAAAAGTTGGGACTTTTGAACGTTAAGGCATTGAGGGAAAACCCATTAAATAATTTTATATTAAACATTTATTATTTTTGTTGCAAATAAATACAATATATACAATTAATGTATTTTGCGTTTAGGCAAATCTATGTTTTGTTTAAAAACCTTTAAAACTAAAACCCGTTAAGTAAAAATACTAGATTTAAGTTTATAGTAAAATGCGTTTTACTAGTAAATCATTAAGAGCTAGTCATCATACTTGGTTTTTCACTTTATTAAATGTTCACAATTGCGAGAATCATATAACTGTTAAATACCATTAAATATACTTATACTGGTCTTTCCTACAACTCTATATAGGTAAAATAGTAATTTAAAAGAATTTATCGGTTTATTGAAAAAAATAAAACTTAAAAGGTTACTTATTGAATTATAAAGTCCGCAGTTTTCAGTCTTCTCTTCTGAAATCGACTTATCTGATAATATCACAAGAAAAAGCTGCAAAAATTATGCTATACTGCATTTATAGGCCAAAAACGCAAATTTTGTCACTTATCGGGTTTGAGCACGGAACCCTCGATATATGTCATTGTACAACTACCGACAAAACCAGTAATAAACTAGCTACGCAGTAGTGCAGTCGTTTCATTGCTACCTATCAACACTCCATCTGGCGACAAGGACGGATTTTACCCTCAATTTTTTTGTGAGCAAGATGGACAAAGTTATTGGAAATATTGGAGTTTTCGATCATAGTGTGCAAGAATGGGACGTTTTTTACGGGCGATTAACACAGTTTATTAAGTTAAACAGTATTTCGAACGATAGTGCAAGTGCGGTATTATTAACTCATTTGTCGGATGAGTCTTACCGCCTGGTTCGGAATCTTGTGCACCCAGATAAACTAGAAGCTAAATCATACGCTCAGCTAGTTCAAGTACTCAACCAGCATTTTACTCCGAAACGGTCAACCTTCGCAGACAGAGCCAAGTTCTTTGAAGCCACGAAATCAGTGACGGAAAGTAGTCAAGACTGGGCAGCTCGACTACGCGGGCTAGCTATTAATTGTGATTTCGGAACGGAACTGGACGTACTTCTTCGAGATCGTTTCGTACTCGGTTTCAACTTGGGAACAGAACGAGACCGGCTATTCGAGAATGATTGTAACACATTGACGCTCGCGAAAGCTATTGAAGTGGCGCAGCAAGCGGCGTGCGCCAGGCAGGCCCGCACGCCGGTCGTCAAGGAGGAGGCCGTGTACCGCACCGCAGCGCGTGCTGAGCGCCCGCGCCGCGGCGGCAGTGGTGGCGGCGCAGGCGGCGGAACCCGCCGGGACGACGGCGCCGGAGCTACGCGATGCTCAGTGTGTGGATTAAACAATCATGATGTGACAAGATGCAGGTTTAAAAACTACAAGTGTCAGAGTTGTGGACAAAAAGGTCACCTTAAAAAAGTGTGCAGTGGTAATAAAGCTAAGTTACATAATATCGGTACGGAAACAGTGGAATCTCAGGAATGTGAGGATTGTAAGGAGTGTCAAATGTTTAATATGAGGTACGTAAATAGTAAACCTTTCAGGCTGTCGGTCAATGTGAGTGGAGTTCAGATGAATATGGAGTTGGACACTGGTTCTGGTTGTTCAGTCATATCCGAGAATTTATATATTCAACAATTTTGTTCCTTAAAATTGTATAAAGACAATCTAAAAATGTGTTTTTATACTGGCCATCAAGTCACGCCCCTTGGTTATTTTCTTGCTGAAGTTTTTTATGAAAATAAAACGGAAGTTATACGATTTTATGTTATAGCTAATGGGGGACCCCCCCTCTTGGGGCGTAATTTCATGTCAAAATTTAAATTGCATTTGACCACCGAAAATCACAGCATTCAAAGTGTAGATGTCGATAGTGTCAAAGAGATCCGGGACCTATTAAATCAATATCCAGCCGTTTGGAAAGACGAGTTGGGTTGTTTTACTAAATTCGACGTTGAATTGCAGTTAAAGGATGATGCTAAACCTAAGTTTTTTAAGCCACGCCCAGTACCTTTTGCCTTGAAAGATAAGGTGAGTGCTGAATTAGACAGATTAGTAACATTAGGTATTTTAGTGCCGGTTAACCATTCAGATTACGCCACCCCGATAGTACCAGTGTTGAAGGAGAATGGAAAATTGAAAATCGCTGGTGACTTTTCCTGCACGCTTAATAAGGATCTTAAAATAGACAAATACCCACTGCCTAGAATAGAGGAGGTTTTTTCAAAATTAGGAGGGGGGCTACAATATACGAAAATTGATTTAAGCAACGCATACAACCAATTTAGGTTAACTAAATCTTCACAAAGACTTACTACAATCAACACTCATAAAGGTCTGTTTTCGTATACTCGGTTAGTCTATGGATTGGCCAATGCACCTGCTATTTTCCAAAGGGCTATGGAAACGTTACTGTCAGGGTTAGACGGAGTGAGTATATGGTTAGATGACGTTTGCATCACAGGTCCGACGAAAGAAATTCACTTGACGAGGTTACAAGAGGTGTTAAGAAGGTTGAATGAGTCAGGGTTACGGTTGCAAAAGGACAAGTGCGTATTTTTCCAAAACCACGTTACATACTTAGGTTACGTTATTGATAGGAGCGGACTAAGAACTTGTCCAAAAAAGGTAGATGCTATAATTAAAGCGCCGGCGCCTGAAAATATTTTAGGGATAAAAAGGTTTCTAGGCGTAGTAAATTATTATAGAAATTTTGTGCCTAACGCCTCATCTATGCTAAGTCCTCTACACGAGTTATTGCGTGGTGGCGTTGAATGGAAGTGGGATGAGCGGCAGCAGGCGGCATTCGACAACATTAAGCGCGAACTAGCCAGCGAGCGTGTGCTGGCGCACTTCGACTCGGCAGCGCCGCTCACGCTGGCTGTGGACGCGGGCCCGGGAGGTCTCGGCGCTGTGCTCGCCACATTCGATGCGCAGGGCTGCGAGCGCCCGATCGCGTTCGCCTCGCGGTCGCTATCGGCGAGCGAGCGAAATTATAGCCAGATTCAAAAAGAGGCTACGGCAATCATTTTCGGCGTTAAACATTTTCACCAATACCTATATGGTAGGCAAAAACCATTTGTATTGAAAACCGATCACAGGCCGTTAATATCTATATTTGGCAAAAAGAATGGAATTTCCGTAACCGCCGCGTTGCGTTTGCAGCGATATGCAGTTTTATTGTCAGCTTATAACTATACAGTACAATATGTAAGTGGACAAAATAATCAAGTCGCAGATTATTTCTCCCGCGCTCCGTTACAACAATCTATTAATGATGAGTTAGAACAGGAGGGAGATAGGTCATTCATGTTTTTAGATTCACGTGTAGAACCGGTTTCATTTTCTAGAATAAGGGAGGAGACGAATCGCGACAACGTGTTATGCTCAGTTATTAAATATATGACACACGGTTGGCCAAGGAAAATAGCTTGCAAGTCCATATTACCTTATTTTCAGTGCAAGACTGATTTAGAAATGGTTGACGGTTGTCTGTTGCGCGGTCATAGAATAGTGATTCCATTTATTTTCCGTGAAAACATGTTAAGAGAATTGCATTCGTCGCATTTTGGTATCGTCAAAACAAAAAGTGCGGCACGTAGTAGAATGTGGTGGCCCGGTATAGACGGCGACATCGAGCGCTGGGTGGGTGCATGCAGCGCCTGCGCGGCCACGCGCCCAGCACCGCCGCGCGCGCCTCCCGCGCCGTGGCCGCGCCCACTCATTCCGTGGCACCGCATACATATTGATTATATGACGTTTGAGCAAAAGGATTACTTGATCATAGTAGATGCTTTTTCCAAATGGCTGGATTGTATTTATATGGACCGAGGCACTTCGACCTCTGCCCTGATAATGAAACTTAAATCAGTTTTTTCTGTGTTTGGTTTGCCGAAAGTATTAATATCAGATAATGATGTCAAGATAAACTCTTTCGAATTTAAAACGTTTTGTAAAGCAAATGGCATTGATTACTTAACCTCGCCTATATATCACCCGTGCAGCAACGGTCAAGCAGAAAACTCTGTCAAAACCTGCAAGAAAATGCTAAAATGTTTATTTTCAAGTATTAATGGTAATCATAACTCCTTACAGGAAAAGTTGCTGGGTTTTCTGTTTGATTAC